GCGTTAAAATTTTGCCTATGATTCATTTTAAAAACGTTAAAATGCACAAAACAAATCCGGTTAATGCCGTAACCTCACTTTTTTAATAAATTAGCCATAGAATTGGTTGGTTAGTTTACAAACTAGCTAAACCTTGGCTATTTTGTGTTACTAGAAATTTTGGTTTTCATATTAGCCAAACTGAATTGGATAGTATACAAACTATTCAGCTATTTTAGTTTCCCTAATAATTTCAAGTAAATTAGCCAAGATCCTTGGTTATTTTGTAAACTAGCCGCTAATTTAGTTGAAAATATGTTTTCAATTAAAATAGCTGACAGTTTGGCTAGTTTATAAACTATCCAGCTAGTTTATAAACTATCCAGCTAGTTTATAAACTATCCAAGTTTGCACATTAGCCATAACATATATACTGAGTCAAACCACGTCAAGTGGGACCAGAAAATTTCACGAAATCACCGATTTTGAAAATAATCACATTATTGTGTAGTAGGCATGACTCATATGTCACAGTAAAAAAATTGTTTTAAAATTCGTTTTTTTGGTAATGTTATTAAGGTTGACAATTTTGTCAAACTTTATAGCACGGTAAAATTGAAAAAATAGAATCTCTGGGACCACTCTGTATAATTGAATTAAATTTTACACACTATTGTAGAAATGTTTAGAGTATATAATGATCATTTAATTAATGTTAATTTGTTTAAATAAAAGAATTTTGCATACATTTATTATAAACAATTGAAATTTTGTATGTGTTCTTCACGCTGAAAAAAAATTAATCTTGTGTCATAATATGCGGCAAACGTTTCCGTTTAATAAGATGTACTCAAAAATTTGCCTTTCATATGTCATTCCGGAGATATTAATTTTTTTGTCCGGCTGTGCGCTTGATCAGTACGCGGCGCGCTTCGCTGCTAGCTCGTCCGTTCGAACGGTTTAACGGTGTGCCTGAACGAAGTTTAAGTCACATAAAAATACCGCCAAAAACTGATTGTAGTTTCTTGTTCGGGACCCTTTGGTGACTTAAAAATGATATTTACCAAAGTTCTAGCTGCTCCTCTTTTCGAAAATGTTCGAAAATTCATGATTTTTTTTAAAATTTTTGTTTATCTCTTTGACAGAGTACACATTTGCACACGGATTTTTATAAAATTGGAGTATATTATTTAGGAGACTTAGAGAATATTTTTTAATACTGTTCACATCATTTGATATATACAGGGTTAGCCAAAAATCACTTATTTTTAATAATGCAAAAGCGTAAATTCATGATTTTAGCATAACACGCGAAATATATTTATTCCCAATTTTTTTTTAGATATTTCTAGGTCTATCAGGTTAAAAAATGGCATTAATATTAACCTTTTACAAGAAAAATAGATTTGTAATAACATTTAATAAAATAACGCTTAGAGAGTATTTAAAATGTTGTTTAATTTAGGCTTTTTAGTAGTTTTCAATTTTGAACGAAAAATTGGTTGAAGTTAAAAAATATATTTACCAAAATTCTAACTGTTTTTTTTAATTTGTAAAAAATTCAATTTTTTTAAAATTATTTGTTTATAGCAAAGTCTACCTTTGCCAGAGTACACATTTGTACACCGATATTGTAAACGAGAGAAACTGTATTTATATATATGCTTAGATTTATACAGGGTTAGACAAAAATCACTTTTTTATATAGTAAAAAGTATAATGCAGAAAAAGATTTTTCAAAAAATTTCGAAAAGAGGAGCAGCTAGGATTTTGGTAAATATCATTTTTAAGTCACCAAAGGGTCCCGAACAAGAAACTGCGGAATTTTTATGTGACTTAAACTTCGTTCAGGCACACCGTGTGCTGACGAGCTAGCAGCGAAGCGCGCCGCGTACTGATCAAGCGCACAGCGGGACAAAAAAATTAATATCTCCGGAATGACATATGAAAGGCAAATTTTTGAGTACATCTTATTAAACGGAAACGTTTGCCGCATATTATGACACAAGATTAATTTTTTTTCAGCGTGAAGAACTCATACAAAATTTCAGTTGTTTATAATAAATGTATGCAAAATTCTTTTATTTAAACAAATTAACCTTAATTAAATGATCATTATATACTCTAAACATTTCTACAATAGTGTGTAAAATTTAATTCAATTATACAGAGTGGTCCCAGAGATTCTATTTTTTCAATTTTACCGTGCTCTAAAGTTTGACAAAATTGTCAACCTTAATAACATTACCAAAAAAACGAATTTTAAAACAATTTTTTTACTGTGACATATGAGTCATGCCTACTACACAATAATGTGATTATTTTCAAAATCGGTGATTTCGTGAAATTTTCTGGTCCCACTTGACGTGGTTTGACTCTACTATTTTTTTTTCAAGCGTTTAATAATTTTGTACTTACATTGGAAATCTTGTGTTTGCAACATTTTGTCGTAGGTAGATAATATTAACGTTTGTATTAAAGGTTATGTGTATACATTTATTTTACAGTGACCTATAATTTTACAACTGTACTTACACTAATGAGCTAAATTATTTATTAAAAACGATGTAAAAAAATATTTTACTAAAAATAAATATTTTCCTTCTGTTCTATCTCGTTTCGCGCTTACTAAAAATCACTGCAAAACTGCACAAAATCTAACGGCGGCCATTTTTATGTTGTTTAGAATTCTTGTGCTTTGGGTTTGTTCTGATTATACAGATTAAAAATTATTTAAGCTCTGTGTTTCTTACAGAGGTACTTGTAAGTCTCAAGTAAGGCCTTAAAGTGCAAAGAGAAACCATTTTACTCCTCTTTTGTAAAAAATAAACCTTATTATATCAGGGATGTCATCAAACTGTCAAATTTTAATTTTAAGGTTAATATGACCCACAAATAAGTACATTAGATGCAAAACCGCTCATAAGATAATTTTTTTAAAATGCAATAATTGTATAGACGTGCTTTTGTATCATTTTTATTCGAAAAAGTAAAAAAATCTCTTCTTTTCTTAAATTATGTCGTTTTTCTTCAAAAATATTTTTGTTAGTGAAAAAATAACCTGATCTCCATTGCTCATGCATCATAGTATCGCACTTTAGCTCCGCTTACAAAAAACACACAGTTTTATATGTATGTAGATGGTCACAACGAAGCGCATAAATCGTAATGGTCTGTTGTTCAAATCGGTATATTTATTTATTTTGGTGAGTGGAGCTATGATGCGATCGTTAAGTCTACGGAGCTATAGACTTGTGTATACGCAAGCAGTACGAACCCAATAGGCGGAATTGACAGAATCTAGGCAACAACACCAGTGCCCTCTTATTTTGGGAAATTTGTATACATGGAGTTTGGACTCCTTGTGTATGCTCCATGGTTGAGTCAATTTACGGTTCGATGCTATTGTCGGAGCGATGGTCGGCGCTTCGGTGTGTCTGCCTTAGACCATATAACACTGGACGTATGAGTCGTTTTTTACGAAAACAACTTAAAATGGTAAAAAGATGCAAATATATTTTATCTACTCCTACATTGACGAGCTGTGACTTTATGGCGTTTTAGTCACGGGCTGAAGTTAGTAATAGTGGCTTTTGGGCATTTTAGACACGGGCTACAGTTAGCTTTATTATAAATTAGAGAAAAGTGAGATTAATTCCGTTGACATTTGACAGATGTCAAATGTTTAACAAATAAAATTGGATTTAAATTCTTCTTTGTGGTCGTCGTAGATAAAGTATGGTATGCAAGTCGTTTTATAAACTTATCTAGACACCCGTTTTTATTAAACACTCGCTTGCAAGCTTCGCTCGTGCTTAATAAACTCGTAACTAAAATGGCGTTTATAAAACTTGATACATAATATCCTATTATCTACCCCTACATTAACGAGCTTTGACTTTATGTCGTTTTAGTCACGGGCTGAAGTTACAACAGTGGCTTTTGGGCATTTTAGTCACGGGCTGAAGTTAGCTTCATTATAAATTGCGAAAAAGTGAACTTAAATTCATCAGATGTCAACTATTTATGAATTAAAATTGGCTTTAAATTCTTATATTTGTTGGTCGTAGATAAAGTAATATACTATTATAATTAAAATTTTGGTTTTAAATCATTATTTTGTATTTTAACATTTTTTTTTAAGATTGTATTTAACTTCAATGCCGCCTGACAATTTACCTACTTTTGATTATCCGATCAAGCTAAAATTTGTTGTACGATGACAATGCACCCAGATAGCACAGAGACATCTTAAAGATATCTTAAAGATGTCGGACTCGGACGTTCATGACATCTTTAAGACGTCCAGTTTACGACGTAAGTCATCTTTAAGACGTCTTTAAGATATCTAATGTTACAAAACACACCGTCTTTAAGATGTCTTTTTAACGGCATTATTAAGTCGTGGCTAAACGTCGTTAAGACGTCTTTAAGATGTTAAAGACTACCTATTGAAAACTTTTTGGTTATGCATTGCTACATCGCCAAAACGTTTCTAATGTATTAACTTAACACTATTAAGTAATTAAAATGTAGCTAATAATGCTTTTTAACTTCTAAAAATAACGTACTTATAGGTACTTCTATTTAAAATAAAACAAAAATTAAATTATTACATATTTATTTCTGCCTAAATCAAGTCAAAACTTCTTGGCAAGAAGAAGTCTTCTGTCTGAAGCCAAGCTCAAGCTCAACAATTTTTTTATGATTATAAATATTTGCCAATATGGAATACACCTGACTGCTTGAACTCTTAGATAGGGGTAAGCCATCAATATTTATATTGAGAGCTATGAAATGGTTCAATTTTTGAATTGTCTTTGTGTCAAAACTCCTTAAAATACTAAGGATACAATTACTTAATCCAAAATGACAATATTGCCCCGGTGTAACTGGTATAACTTCAACATAGCGACAAGTGTGAAGTAAAGTTCTAGCATCAGTAGGCAACACTTGCTCAGCAAAATTTAAAGGTAAAATTTTTAATAAATCATTTATCGCAAAATGAGTTATTCTATGCTTTACTGCCCACTTTGCCAAGTAATTTTCAAATCTGATTTCACTTTAAACAATTGTTGTGTTCTTACTCTCATTTGAGGTACTTCCTCGGGTACTTCTTCCAAGCTTATGTCTAGAGGTTCTTTCGAGGTTCCTTCGATATTTGGAATAGAAATGTTGGAAGAATCCTGCTCAACTCGCTGCTCAACATCAGACGGCGAGTGCTAGTGAGGGTCTTTTTAAATTGGCTGCCCTCTTTGCACGCATATAATACCTATTTATTGAGAGATGAACGCTTCATCTTAAGCACACAAGAAAAAATTTTAAAATTACCTGAATAATTTTCCCTCTTGAGTATAAACCACAGCAAATTCACAAAAACAATCCAAAAACAGTGTTGTTACAACACTGCACACTGCTTTTACTTGTCACTTAAGTTTAAACGTCGAACGAGAACGAAAAACCGCCACGATTAGCTATTTAACCAAATTTGACGTAAGCGGCAAAAATGGCGTCTGATGTCCGCAATCTGCATTTATAGTTAGGTACAAGGCTCGTACTACGAGCACAATCCACATTGGATTGTGGGTACGAGAATTGAAAAGAGGCAGACATATCAGCGCTTGGTGAAATAGAAAAGGAAAGCATAAGGATCTCATGGCGTGACTTATGATTTCATTGCATTATGGGAAATGTGCGGGTAATTTGATTTAAAAACGTTCGCTGGGTTATTTTAAGGTTATTTTGTCTTAATACTTAATTTTTAAAAAACATGTTAGTTTATAATGGTTTATTATAAATAGATATTATTAATTGTAGGAAAAATAACCAATCTACAAAAATGTCAGATATATATTTATTCAGTTACCCTACCCATCATCGTTGTCAAAACTCAAAATCCTACATTATAGTTATTTCTATTACAATGAAGTCGCTGATTATGGGATATAATTTCGATTTTGATTTTTCAACATTTACTATTTTATCCAAAAAAAAAAACCGCGGTATCAGGCATTTATAAGATGTCTTGAGAACATTAAATAAAGATATCTTTAAGACGTCTATCAAAAGACGTCTTTCAGACGTCTTTTTTAGATCTTTAGATCTTCAAGACTTTGTTTGCTGTCTTAAGTGGTTAATATTTTACCAAAATAATGAAAAAAAAATAAGCGGCGTTATCAGGCGTTTATAAGATGTCTTTATGACATTAAATGAAGATATCCTTAAGACGTCCTTTAAAAGACATCTTTTAGACGTCTTTTTTAGATCTTCAGACGTTCAGGCATAATACAGACATACAAAAGACATCTTCAAGACGTTGTGTGCTATCTGGGCACAAGTCAAGGTTTCTAGCGAGCCAAGGACTTAATAGCATTAGGGTGGCTAAACATGTGGCATTGTTTAAGTCAAATATTTAATAACATACCTAATAAAAGAAAAATACCCAAAAATTACTTTAATTCTCTTGTTAGTAAAAAATAAATTTGAATTTTCACGAGTAAACGGCATAAAATAACTACATTTAACTGTATTTAACTATTTAACATTACATTATCATATTAATATGATAAAAGAATGTGAAATAATTATTTTATGACGTAGTATAAAATATGCTCCATAAATAAAAGAAAAAAGTTGTATATCCTATTTTAGATTAGTTATTTACCATTTTAGTTTGTCGGTTTTTTGCCCATCAACCCAAAATTACTTTTTTCTGCTCCAACCTTTAAAACGCCCTTTATCGTACATGTTTCCTTGACACTAAGTGACCTTTTAAATACACATTGACAAGTTGTGGCTTTATGGAGCTTTAGTCACGGGCTGAAGTTAGCAACAGGTTTTTAGTCACGGGCTGAAGTTAGTTTTAAATTAGTTGACAGTTGTCAAATGTCATACAATCGTTAAAATAAATTGCCTTTCTTGTAAAATAATACAAAATGTGAAAATTATTTTATTATCTCAATACAAAAATGCAAAAGTATTAAATAGTTTCTCAACATCAATATACAGGGTGTTTCATAATATATGCGCAGGACTTCAGGATCTGATAGCTCATCCAAAAAGATGAAAAAAGTCGCTATTAACTTACGCTCTAAAATGCACAACTTTCGAGATACAGGGTGTTGAAATTTTAGAAAAAAATTCGTTTTTTTCGATTATCTCTGGAACCCTTTATCGTACAAAAAACAGCTTTTGTAAACATTTTCTACTCATAATAAACTATGTTTTGTACCAGAAAAAAAATTTTTTTACTCATAATTGGTGGAGATTTTGAAGGGGTAGCGGGTGTTTTTCTCCTTAACTTCTACGCCCCTGAAAAAAGTACGGTTCGAACCGCCAATGTTTTCTACAGAAAAAAGGTACTCTTGGTCATAAGCTCTAAACTTGACCGTTTTCGAGAAAAATCAACTTTTATGTTTAAAAACATGGTCAATTTAAAAAAAAAATAATTTTTTTTTTACTAATTAAACAAAATTTATTTTAACATTAGAACAAGTAACAAAACCAAACCATAATTGCAAAATAAAAAATGATTCAAAAGTTGTCTTTGCTAAATTCTCCAAACCGTAAAGGAACGCATTTCGCACATTTCAGCATTTGTGTAAAAAATCATTTTTTATTTTTTTTTTAATTTTGCAATTATCGTTTGGTTTTGTTACTTTTTCTAACGTTAAAATAAATTTTGTTTAATTAGTAATAAAAAATTTTTTTCAAAAAATTGACCATGTTTTTAAACATAAAAGTTGATTTTTCTCGAAAACGGTCAACTTTAGAGCTTATGACCAAGAGTACCTTCTTTGTGTAAAAAACATTGGCGGTTCGAATGGGCTTCTCGAAATCGTACTTTTTTCAGGGGCGTAGAAGTTGAGGAGAAAAACACCCGCTACCCCTTCAAAATCTCCACCAATTATGAGTAAAACAATTTTTTTTCTGGTACAAAACATAGTTTATTATGAGTAGAAAATGCTTACAAAAGCTGTTTTTTGTACGATAAAGGGTTCCAGAGATAATCGAAAAAAACGATTTTTTTCTAAAATTTTAACACCCTGTATCTCGAAAATTGTGCATTTTAGAGGGTAAGTTAATAGCGACTTTTTTCATCTTTTTGGTTGAGCTATCACATCCTGAAGTCCTGCGCATATATTATGAAACACCCTGTATAATAAGTTTATATGAACATTGTACTGACCTTTTAATTTCGCCGGCAGTAAACTATAACTTAAATTCGGGCACGGACTCCACTGTAAAGTGCTCATAAAACATTTTCTTTACTTTCACTGTGAAAAACTGTCAATTTTCAAGAAATACATTTCGATTTATAACCTTTATAATCTGTTTATAAAATATAAAAATTTGACATTTGACGGTGACACACAGATTCCTCTATTGTTTCATAGATGGCGCTCTATAAATTTTTTTTATTTAAATCATTTTAAGATAAAGTATTTTTCGTAGAAAAAGTATAGTATGCACCTCGTTTATAAACTTTTCTATACACTTGCTCGCAAGCTCGTTCGTGCCTAAATTAAATTCGTGTATAAAATGGTGTTTATCAAACTTGATACATAATATACTATTATCTACCCCTACATTGACGAGCTGTGACTTTATGTCGTTTTAGTCACGGGCTGAAGTTACAACAGTTGCTTTTGGGCATTTTAGTCACGGACTAAAGTTAGCTAAATTGCGAAAAAGTGAAGTTAAATTCGTCAGATGTCAACTATTTATGGATTAAAATTCCTATATTTGTTCGTCGTAGATAAAGTAATATACTATTATAATTAAAATTTTGGTTTTAAATCATTATTTTGTATTTTAACATTTTTTTAAAAGATTGTATTTAACTTCAATGCCGCCTGACAATTTACCTACTTTTGATTATAATAATAATAATAATAATAATAATAATAATAAACTTTATTAGCCCAACAGGGTTTCCCCCAATTACAGGACAAAATACAGCGTAAGTAAATATTTCAAAATTTACATTGTATATATATATATACAAATTTATACACAAATAAATGACTATTTAAATATATCGCATGTATTGGAGTTTTTGTATATCACGTTGATTGGCGCTCGATTCATCAAATTTGTTCTTGAAGTTGGAAGTTTAAACGTATTGAATAATAAGTTAATTCTAGGTGCGTTGATGTTTAATTTGGACAGAAGATATGGACAGTCGATTTGGTTGTGTAGAAGTTTTCTAAGAAAGTTGGTATTCTGTATTTGGCGTCTTGTTTTTAAATCTTTTATGTTTAGCACCTCTATCAGGGTATGTTCGATATAATCTAAACGACATATATTTTAGGAATCTGCGTTGTATACGATCCAATTCAAGAATATGACGAGTATAATAAGGATTCCAAATAAGGCTTGCATATTCTAATTTACTAATTACAAACGAAAAGTATAACGTTTTTATTATACTTAAATTAGTGAACTCCTTGGAGGATCTGATGATAAATCCAAGAATTTTACCAGCCGATAAACATACGCTATTTAGATGTGGTATAAAACTAAATCCAATATCAAAAGTAACTCCTAAATCCTTAATTAAATCTGTTCTTTGTAATTTGACATTGTTTACAGCATACGTTGCTAAAATTGGAAATTTCTTTTTGGTATATGTTGCAATAAAGCATTTATCAACTTAAGTTAATTGCTATGAAGGTTAAATTATTTTGAAGTATCTTAACATCATCAGGATGTTTAATAATTGAGTATATCTTTATGTCGTCGGCATAAGCAAGCGCGGGGCAAGTTAGGTTTAGAAGAAGTTCGTTAACAAATAAATTAAATAAAAGGGGCCCTAAATTTGATCCCTGTGTAACTCCAGATGACATTTTATAAATATTGGAAGAATTTTTGAGATTTTTTAAATATGATGCTATAAGTCTTACTAAATTAGGGGAAAAATTAGGATTAGATGACTTATCCAATAAAAGATCATGGTTTATGCAGTCAAAAGCCTTCGATAGGTCTGTATTTATAGTGTCAACTTGAGTTCTATCATCAATGGACTCGCAAATGAATTGGCTAAATGATGCAAGGTTGGTCACTGTTGATCGGCCAGATACAAATCCATGTTGGTAGTGAGATACATAGTGTTTAGTGTTAAAATATATTTGATTATATATGATGGTTTCA